AATCGATTGAGCAAGGGTGGTCGTGGCTTACGTGCAATGCCTCCTAGAATCCCCATCTATTTTTCGAAGGTCACGTTTTTGCGCCCTAAAAAGTTCAGATCCGTAAAGAGCTCAAAATTTCAGGCATGAAAAAGTATTTTCCGTGAAATTTCAAAAAATGACTGTTCCGTAGGACTTCAAATAATCAAAAATAGGGTATCTCGAGTGGTCAGGACCATTTAAGGAAGAAAACATTTTCTAGCCGTTTTATTTTGATTTTCGTAATCAGCACCCTTGAATCTATAGTTCCATTTAGTTTTGAATCGAGAAAAACGAATTTTGTTTTTCATGATATCTGAGGGGGGAGGGGGGAGGGGGGGGGGGGGGGGCAGGGACCAAAACCATGAATGTCATTTTTTAGGGAATAAAGTTGAAAAATATGATCAGGATCGAATGCTTATTAAAGCCTGATACAAATAAATGAATCCTGAAGGGGCCGGAAAAAGGCCTTACCCGCCCTCCTCCTTGAAGAAATTTTTTCCATAGTAATCACAGTGAAATTCTTTTTTTCTACCTAGGAAATTCAAAACATGAGTTTTTCAGCCTGCTCTCCTTGCGACATCTCACTAACTTTATCCGATTTGGCTGAAATTTGTATCACAGATACTTGTAGGTATTCTCTAGAGGTGAAATCAGCCATTTTTATTTTCAACGTTCCTATCTGGATTTATGGGATCCTGAAAGCCCAAATCCTGGCTTTAGCTCCGAGCCTTTACGTATTTCTCTCATAGAAAAAAAGAAAGTGAAATTTTCGAAAAAAGCTCAATTTTGCTTCTGAGATATAGTCTAAGGTAGCTTCAAAAAATTCTCGGCTCAATCGGACAAACTTTAATGAGGGTCGTAGTATGAGTAGGTGCGATTCTTTGGAAAACAAGGAATGTCCCACAAAAACCAACCAAATCTTCTTTAAATTTTTTTCCTCGAACACGTATCTCGTTGGTTTAGGTGCTCCATATATGGTAAAAACGTCAGACAGATCGGTTCTACCTTAGTCGAGAACCACACATGAACAAAAAAAGAGAAGGGTACCCTTAAGAGATATTTGACAAGTAACAAGTACTATGGGATGGAATACGAAACTTTCGATAATTGTGTCATAGGGCGAAAATTATTTCATAGCTATCTCATCCCATGGTTCCATGGGACATGTCGAGACAGTTTGTTCCATCAGGTGAATTTTTTGGTTCCATCTAACGCTTCGTGGAACTATAATCTCGACACAATCATATATCACAAATAGAAATGAACATGAGAATGCTTAAATACGCGATCAGTATTTTTTCATGTAAAATATCACTTTTTAAAAAAGATCATTTTTCTAGAATCTATCTTTCGAAAGCTGAGACATTGCGACATAGTTCAATAAATGCAATACGAAACTTAAGATATTTAATAAATGAATTACATAACTATCACATAATCCAGAACTGATAGACTTATTCAGGTGGTGTAATTGTCGAAAAATGGGCAATGTCGGGATAGAAGTCTTGTTTTTTGGGAGACTTCTAGCTCTTCCTGGCCTCACTGGTGTGACTTAGTGTTATGCCCAACAATTGAACATACATGATAGCAATGTCGATGAAAGTTTGAGTTCATCGGGTTAAAACTCTTTGTAGCGCTCATAAAGTACGACATTACCAATTTTCGGGTTTACTTCCAGTCTAGCAGTCACTTGTGTTCAACTCCATCTCCATATCAACCAACATAATTTTTATACCATGAAGTTATTGAGGGTAATCATTTTTTGTAAGTTTTTGTTTTAAAATGTTTTGGTTACATTGATCCGAGAAATGATTTGAAAGAAAATAATGATTAATGAGAAAACTTTTCAAGATGAGATTTCTTTGCTTTCTCTTTCATTTCTGAAAACTATATGTCAAGATGAGATGGGCTGTTTATGCATGCATTCATTTCAATGCTTGAACTTTGACTGAGAGCTGAACTACGAAAACATCTGGTTGAATGGACTCATACGTACAATATTACATATGTACTGCCGCACTTTTTTATATGAGTTTCTCTTCAGCGGAGAAAACAAATAATACATATAACATTTTTCCTTCCAAGTCGATCGATATTGACCCCTCACCCTGTATACATATACATACACGTGATGTTCCCCTTTCATTTCAGATCAATCGTAATATAATACGTTCGCCTGCTTGATCGCTTTTTTCTTCTCTTTCCTCTTTTCTTTCTTTCCTGTTTCTGAGCTGCTCTTCTTCCTTTATCACAAACAGAAAGGTCATTTCATATTCTTATAATCAAAAAGACCACACATTTCCATTCGATGGCAATACAACACGAGGTTTCTTGTTGTTTTGTTAAAATTTTAAATGAACTTCATTTTACTTCTAGAATCGAGTAGAAGCTAAATCTCGGGGACTCATCAAATGTCTCATTGATATTATTGTTGGTTCTCATCCAGTTAATTTTTATCATGTCCAGAAAATTTTACTTTCCATTATCAAGCTTTGCGATTTTGATTATGAAGTAAATTATTTTTCTCGAGCACTTTTATCTTACTAATTGTTTCCTTATAGGAGTGCGATGCTTGGTTCACACTAATTACCGGGGTACAGGGAGGAATAGGGGAAATCCAAGTCACCGACAAAAATCATTTTTTGGAAAAAATATTTCAGGTAATAATTAACTTTTTCCTTCTTATTTACTTAGTAGTATCTCTTCATCATTGTAGACAGAAAAGATACGTGAAGGTCTCTATCAATACGTCCAATAAAGTAAGTTCATTTAAGGATTTTTTGCGACAACTAATAACTTTCCTTTTAATTTCAGATATTCGTGTGGTGTGTTGTGATCGCGTGGTGATATATGTTGTGATGTAGGGTAGTATCGTGGCGTATGTTGATGAGAGATAGCATGTTATATATGATGTTATTATTTATTATATGTTATGATGAAATGCTTCAAAATAATATGGACAAAACATTATCACAAACAGGTATGTGAATTTATTTACATTGAAAAAAAAATTTATGTTTGTTTTTCTTTTTATTAAAGATTAGTGGTAATGGTTGTATATTCACTAAAACTTTGGAAATATTGATTGATAATGATAGTGATGTGTTAAAATATCATGGAAGAAACCTTGTTAGTCAATTAGTTATTTCTTAGAAATAGGATATTTATAAAAGACAATCAATATTTTAAAAACTGTTGTTTATGATACTGATAAAAGTAAAATAAAAATTGAATCATTTAGTTTTTAAATGTTTGTACTTTTCTAGATTGTAATGAAGCAAAAGAGGCAACATTGAAATATACGTTGTTCGATGGACATAGTTACGTTGTCAATATTAAAGAAAAGACATTGGAATCATTTTACAAATTGGATAATATATAGTTCATGGATGTGATGATAAAGTAAAAAAAAGATGATTATGAAGCATATAATAGGAAAAAAATGTCCAAGAAATTTAAATTTATTCAAATTGAAGATAATACAGGTAATTGACATGAAAAAAGTTTCTTATTCAAGAAAAAAAATCATTTATTGTTTAGGTATGAAAGATGAAAAGAATTTTTCAACATGGAAATATAAAATATCAATTGTCGAATACATGGTCTAAATTGAAGTCGTTTTTAATGAACATATCTTGTTGAATATTTTTTTTCTAATATATTGTAACAGTAATAAAATAACATCGTAAAAAGACAAAAAAAAATTGAATATAGAACAAAGAAGAAAAAAAAGGGAAGACCATTAAGAAGCAATATCGGTTCTCTATCAGAAATCTATTTTTCTTCCTGATTTTATCATTTTCACTGTCTGAGGTTTATTTCTCTCAAAATTAGACCGTTTCATGTACTCCTCACTATGCACAAGTCGCTTTACTGCCACTGTTTCGTCCATATAATATGATCTAAAACGTAGTAAGGTGCCAGGGAGTTTTCTCGTTGAATTTCACACTTATTCATTTCATATATTTAGTTGATTTGTGTATTAACTTGATGCTTTTCAATTTCTCAATCGAACGGCATATGAACACGCATGAGAAGATTGTTTCTTAACTTTCTTTCTATATAAATTGGTTACTATTTTATACCATATACAGACCAGCATAAAAAACAATTGATTCACGTATATTAGCAATAACTTCCATATCAAGTAATAATGATTGTTTGTTTTTCATCAATTTAGAATCATAAATAAAATTAACATTATTCTAATTTAATTGATTGTTTTATTGAATCTTTTAAAAATATATTAACATTACGTATATCACGATGAATAATTTCTTTTTTCATGTAAACATGATAATGCTGATAATAATTGTCTTAAATAACCTTGAACAAGATACTCGTGAAAAAACCCAAGCCAGCTTTTATTTGTATAATACCTTAAAGAAAAAACCCTTTGACAACATAAGCTGTTCATTTCTTAGTGATTCGCTTACTCTTTTTTATTCCTTCAGAATATTAGGAATTGATATGAATCCGATATCCCTAGGTTCCAAAAGAATTTCGGAGTCGTTCAGAGTTGAAATCCGAAGCGAAAACAGTTTTTTCGGGATTGGAGTTGGAATCGGAAACGAAACAAAGTTTTTTTTAGAGTCAGAGTCGGGATTGGAATCAAAAAGTATGACTTCGCTGATCTCCAGGAGGAAGTCTTCGAAACTGCACAAACGTGGACAGAGGGGAGGAAGTGGCCAAAAGGGTGTGGATGTAGCTATGAGTGAAACCAAGATCTGCACCCACACTCACACCAACATTCACACCCATACCCACACCCATCTATCCACCCTAGTTCATTTGATAATAGAGATGGATTTAGATTATTATTCTGTATATAAACAATAACAAGTTGACTATACTTATTTTGTTCAATAGAGTATATATATTTTGACAATATGTTTTTTTTATCTTGAGGCATTGTGATATTGAATAAGTAGTGAAAGTTAATGAGGAAAATAGTTTTGTTTTTTAAGTATTTATTTACACGAACAAGAGGTTGATGTGGATGGTGTTTAAAAATAAAGGATTCGTTGCATCACATGTATGTATTATAACTATGATATTAGAGCATAATGAATGATTGTGAGCACTAATGAAATTGAAAGTTAAAGTTGTTGTCTAAATATTATAGTCAATAATATATAGTGCATCATCATTCTTAGTAAATTTTGAATTGAAGTTTTTAATAACTCAATAAAATAAAAAATTCAGAGAAAACCATAAAAAATTTTTTATTTATGGTTTAGTATGACTTCATTTAGTAAATTCTTGCCTAAATGGATTATTTCATCTTGTTTATAAAGCTTTATATCTAGTAGAAATTTTTTCTAGGAGAATTTTTAAAAATAATTCACACATTCCAAACTCAACTCAATTTTCATATCAACCGCGACATATTTATTTTAAGTTACATTCAACTTTAATTTTGTTCTACTTAAATCTAAGTTATAAAGTTCGTCAGTATTCAGCGATGTACTCAATTAGAATCTAGTTTATCTTAGGATACTTCGACTAAAAAAAAAGAAAAGAAAAGATCTTTAAGCTTATATTTTTAATGTGATTCGTAGGTGACATGTAAAATACCAATGGATGAATGGTATTCTATTTGTACAATTACATCATTTGTACTAAACCATGAATATCTCTTGTTCGAAAGTTCTGAGTGACTTAAAAATTTCAGAGGATACTTCTCTCAATGACTTCCTACACTTCTGAAATTTTCCGCAGTCTACATCACTTCTATCTCGAGTTATGTTTGTTAGAAGTGAAAAAACAAAGGAAAAATTTTCTCAATTGAGAAAAGTTTATGTTCGCATTTTCTTCATTGCAGTTAGATAGAAAATAGTGCAGAGGATCAGACACTCATTGATAGTAGAATTGAAATAGCTAAGAAGTTCTAGAGGATGGTTTTGATATACTCTTGAAATATGCTGAAGTACGAAATTTTTTCTTTCTTCTCCTTGAGGAGTATCCAAAAGAGTTGGAGTAGTTCCATTGTGTTTAACATTTTAATCCCATAGGGATTGCATTGAAAGCTTTCCCTTCACTATCGATTTATATAAGTTTTCTGTCGTTTAGCATCTATCAATGAGCGTGAAATGTCGTAGAACAATGAATTCTATATTAGCTTTATTTTATTATCACTTTTGTCTCTGCCAAAGATATGATATAAATAATATGAAATGAAAAAAAAAGATGTAATAAATTACATTGACAAACAGTGATTTCATTTTGTTTCGATAATATGATTTGATATCGAAGTGATTGGATGAAATATATTAGTCTTATTTTGATGAATATTCACTTAATACCAATATTCTAACGCACGTTCTCCTATACAAATAGTCATTTGCATCAGAACGTATGTATAACGCACAGTTAGGCATCTCAATTCATCTTCATTCAAGTGATGAAATGCTAATAAATAATTCTTCAATCGAATTTCATTCAATTCATAGAACTGACAAAATACTTCGCGGTTCAATTGAAATGAATTTTTAGATTGTTGCAAGTCAGTACAATTCAACTTATAGATTCTCAAGAATGTTTTCTAAATTTGGTTTAACTGAACTCATGAGTTGAATTCAATTCAGATGACATGATCGATTTTGAATTGATTGATACAGCTGTAATCTTGAGAAGTCCAGTATATGATGCTAGACTAATTGATATGTAAAGAAAATTATCACTGTATATCCGTAACCTTTAGAAATAGAAATATATACGGGTTCATTAATGGCGTACGAGCATAAACTAGATGTACACAATATGTAGGCGATGAAAGAAAAAAAAACTGATAGCTTTATCCGAATAAAGAAGCAATGTATATGGACGCAGGTATCATTCAGGCATTTCTCAATAAGAATCTAACAAAATATTATAGCGAAAATCAGATCATTTTATATTTTCTGAGGTCGGATTTCGTAAATTCATCGTTTCGTAACAATTATAAGAAGCTTGGTTTTTGAATTCAATTGAATTTACAGATCTTGAAAATTTCTTTGAATTCAATTCAAATCAATTCACTTCATGAATTGAATAGATTGTTTTTTGGACTGACTTGCCCAACTGTAATACAAGAGAAAACATTTACAGCGAATACAGCAACAAGAAACTGGTCAATTGCAAGAAAATATCTGTGACTTTTTTCGATCAAGACTTCGTCAGCTCGATTTCGACTTTATATAAGAGGAAAACATGTTGATTTCATAGCAGTACATGCCCACTCGCTCTAAAATCAATGCATTCTGATTGACAATAACTACTCTATCTACGTATATCAATGTTCAGTAAAAATGAATGCAATTACATAATGAGTTCAAACTATTTTGCAATCAATTTGATCGCCAAACCGTATACACCAATAAAATTCAACTAATTTTAAAAGGGTGTCTTCTCACATCGACATTATTTTATTTCGTGG